CACTTTACAATCTGCTTAGATCGTGGGGAAAAATACTACACGGTTCAGAGATTGCAGGTCCTTCATGCTTTTTATTTATATTATGGTACCACTCAAAAAACCCCACTCAATGTTGAGGTATTGTCTCAGGTGGTCCTGTGTAAGCACAGACAAAGACAAGACTCCTGCTCCAGAGACATGTTTTAACTTAGTGAGGAAAAGCTGAAGTCAATTAAAAAAGTTCTCTTTAAGGGTATGTACCCTTGAAATTTAAAATAATGACATTTCCCTTAATTCCACTAACAGTTAACTAGCAGTAGCCAGACAAAGTGTAACCTCAACTCTTCCCCCTCTCCAAATGCTAGGGAAAGCAGGTAAGATTTGCAGCATGCCCTCAAGGTCAACCTATTGGGAGTATTCCAGGTGGGGGAGTAAATTCTAAAATTTGAGGGACTTGGCCACTAGCTCCTACTTCTCTGGAGGGGACTCTAGTAGCCATAAATACAGCAGAATGGCACAAATCTATTATAGGCATAGGGCCTACATTTTTTCTGTTTTGGGGGATGAGGGGGGATGTTTAATAGCTCAATAATACCATCTTAAATTCCACCCAGAAATGAATAAGCAGCCAGTGCAGACCATGGAGCACTGTGCTGGTAGCATGATACTTCATTTATTGAACAGGTAGCTAAATTCTGCACCAACTTTAGTTTCCAGATACATTTAAGATGTAACTCCCCTGGAGGACACTGCAGTAATCTAATCTTCAGGTGACACAGGCATGGGTGACAGCAGGAAGATCCACACCCAAAAGAAACTTACATGATGGCTGTATGTAGGTACAACGCTAGCACTTTGCCCTTCCCAAAAGAGAGTTGACAGTCTTCTCTAATATTAGGCCAGGTTTTTCCTCACTGGCCTTTGCCATCTTAAAAGGTCACAGGTCACAAGTGCTCCCACTACCTCCAGAATCTCAGTGAGAGACACTGAAACCTGTGAAGAGAAGACTTCGTGCCTCAGCTGGAGTACCGTGTCCACTTGCAGGTGCCATACTTCAAGAAAGATGTGGACAAATTGAATACAGTCCAGATGAGTGATACAACAATGATAGGTTAAAAACAATTGGGTATGTTTAGTCTTAGGTCCCCCCTCAGTCTTCTTTCTTGAGTCTTCAAATATTTTAAAGGATTGTTACAAAGAAGACTGATCAGTTTTCTGTGTCCATTGAAGGTAGGGCAAAAAGTAATGGGCTTAATCTGCAGCAAGGGAGATGAGATTAGATTAGATATGAGAACAACTTTTTAACTATAAAGGTAGATAAGCTCCAGAATAGGCTTCCAAAGGGGTTATGGAATCTTTGTCCCTGGAGGTTTTTAAGAACAGGCTGGACAAACACCTGCCCTTCCAGCCCTATATTGCTATGATTCTATTATTACCCTGCCACTACACAGGCACTGCAGGCTGAATTCTCACAATCTTATCTATAAAAGAAGCAGTTTCCTCATACTAGGAGGTATTTGAATCAGCCATACAGTGAAGGCAGCTTATCTTAACCAAAATGTCCACCATGTGAAATAAATCTGCTGAGCCAAGAAGTTGCAGAATCTATGGTGGAAGCAAAGAACCTTTTATTTGCTTCCTATACAACATAAAACTTCTAAAAATTCTGTCACAGGTAGTCAGCTAGAGTCTGAGACATCCCCCAGTGGTCATATAGGGACAGATTTTTAAAGGTATTTAGCGCTCACTTTATATTGTTATTTTTGATTACAAATATTTGCACTGTAAAAACGATGAACCGAAAAATACTATTTCTTTTGCTTATCTCATACAAGTACTGTAGGTGCAATCTCTTTATTTTAAAAGTGTAATCTACAAATGTAGATTTTTTGCTACATAACTGCAAAACAAAACAAATGTAAAACTTTAGCACCTACAAGTCCACACAGTCCTACTTCTTGTTCAGCCAATTACTAAGACAAAAGTTTGTTTACATTTACGGGAGATAATGCTACCTGCTTCTTATTTATAATGTCACCTTAAAGTGAGAACAGGTGTTCACCTGGTACTTTTGTAGCTGGCATTGCAAGGTATTTACATGCCAGATATGCACCATTCCAGAGGACATGCTTCCATGCTGATGACGCTTGTTAAAAAAATAATGCATTAATTGAATTTGTGACTGAACGCCTTTGGGGAGAATTGTATGTCTCCTTACCCACATTCTTCTATATATTTCATGTTATAGCAGTCTCGGATGATGACCCAGCACATGTTCATTTTAAGAAAGCTTTCACAGCAGATTTGATAAAACGTAAAGAAGGTACCAATGTGAGATTTCAAAAATAGCTCCCGCACTCGACCCAAGGTTTAAGAATCTAAAGTGCCGTCCAAAATCTGAGCGGGATGAGATATGGAGCATGCTTTCAGAAGTCTTAAAAAGAGAAACACTCAGATGTGGAAACTACAGAATCCGAACCACAAAAAAAAAAAATCAACCTTCTGCTGGTAGCATCTGACTCAGATGATGAAAATGAACACGGGTCCGTCCGCTCTGTTTTGGATCGTTATCGAGCAGAACCCATCAGCAGCATGGACGCGTGTCCTTTCAAATGTTGGTTGAAGCATAAAGGGACATATGAATCTTTAGCACATCTGGCACGTAAATATTTTGAGATGCCAGCTACAACAGTGCCACATGAACGTGCGTTCTCACTTTCAGGTGACGTAAACAAGAAGCTCACACAAACAAATGTAAACAAACTTGTTTGTGTGAGCGATTGGCTGACGTAGGACCGAGTGGACTTGTAGGCTCTAAAGTTTTACATTGTTTTATTTTTGAATGCAGGGTTTTTTTTGTACATAATTCTATGTTTGTAAGTTCAACTTTCATGATAAAGGGATTGCATTACAATACTTGTATTATGTGAATTGAAAAATGCTATTTATTTTGTTTTTTACATTGCAAATATGTCATCAAAAATAAATATAAAGTGAGCACTCTACACTTTGTATTCTGTGTTGTAATTGAAATCAATATATTTGAAAATTTAAAACACATCCAAAAATATTTAAATAAATGATATTCTATTATTGTTTAACAGCACGATTAATCACAGTTTTTTTAATTGAGTGACAGCCCTAGTATTTAGGCACCCAAAGCTGCAGATAGGCAACTAATGGGATTTTTCTAGGTGCCTGACTCCTGTTGATTTCAGTGGTGTTGCAATGCCAAAGTCCCCCATATGTGTCAGCCCCAACCTCTTCACCAGGCCTCCAAGTCCCCATCAATGACAGCATTGTTTCATGCTCTTGGCCACCCTACAGTAGCCACCAAAAGGATGCCAGTGGGCACCCAAATAAGGCAGGTTGTAAAAGGACATCCTAATAATTTAATCACCATCACCACAATCGAAGACCCTCCTTAGCCTCCAATTCCCTGGGACTTGCACAAATGTTAGAATATCCCCACACAACACCAAGTGATCCTCTCTTAAGAGAGCTCATGGTCTCCCCCTCCCCCACCCCATGGCCTTCCATAAGTTATCACAAATACATTTTCCCCACAAAATACCCTTCTATTCCCTAATATCCCACATCTTCTTGGACACGCTCCCTCCCCTGCAACACCCCACTCAGTGTCAACCCATCTACTAGTGCAGAGGTTCTCAAACTGTGGTCTGTGGACCACCAGTGGTCCACGAGCTCCATTCAGGTGGTCCACGGATAGTTTCCTCTAAGGTGCACGCCTGGGAGGCCGTACATGAGAGAATGAAGGGCCACCCACCTAATTAGTGGAGCCGCGCAGGTGTGGCTTCACTAATTAGCAGAGGTGAAAGTAAGCCGGTACGCCCCAGTATGGCTTCCCCAGGTGGCAATTTAAAGGGTCTGGGGCTCCCAGCAGCGTCTGGAGCCCCAGGCCCTTTAAATTGCCACCAGAGCCCCGCTGCTGGAGCCCTGGGGTAGCGCCAGCAGTGCTCCGAGGGTTATTTAAAGGGCCCAGGGCTCCCGCTGCCTCTATGGCCCCGGTCCTTTAAATAGCCCCTGGAGCCCCGCTGCCAGAGCCCTGGAGTAGCAGCAGCGGCCGGGGGCTCCAGCAGCGGTTTAAAGGCTCCGGGGCGGTACCAGCGGCCGAGCCCTGGGCCCTTTAAATTGATGCCGGAGCCCCCGGCTGCTGCTGCTACCCCGGTGGGGGAGGGGAAAGGGAAGGGCACTTACCGGTACGGGGCAGGGGGGCTGCTCTGACCCCCTCATCCCCGCCCCTTCCGGCCGAGGCCTCACCCCTTCTGGGGGCCAGAGCCGGCCCCAACCCAGCCCCGTCCCGGTAAGCTCCTATATCTACTTTCACCCCTACTAATTAGGTGCCTGGACCCTGGAGAAGCCGTACATGTAAGGTGAGGTGGTGGCCCTGGGGGGAACAGGGGTAGGTGGGAGGAGGCAGTGAGGTGAGAAGAGGGGATGGGGGGAATTTGGGATGTGCAGGGCTGCGACGGCCAGAGAAAGAGGCGACTTTCCCCAGCTCCAGGGCTGCGGCTGCCGGCGAGAGATGGCCCTCCTTCCCAGCCTCAGCTCTGTGGCTGCTGTGGCAGGGGAGAGACCCCCCCCTCTTCCCAGCCTCAGCTCTGTGGCTGCTGTGGCAGGGGAGAGACCCCCCCCTCTTCCCAGCCTCAGCTCTGTGGCTGCTGTGGCAGGGGAGAGACCCCCCCTCCTTCCCAGCCTCAGCTCTGTGGCTGCTGTGGCAGGGGAGAGACCCCCCTCCTTCCCAGCCCCAGCTCAGGGGCTGCTGCGACAGAGGAGACCTCCCTCCCTCCCAGCCCCAACTCGGGGGCTGCCGCGGTGGGGGAGACAGGGCACATCCATCACATTAGAAAGGTAAGACAACTGATATTAAAATATGAGTTGTGTGCTTTTATTTGTAGAACAAAAAAACATTAATTATTAAGGGGTTTTTTTATATAAGTGCTTTTATCCAAAGCTCTTTACAATACAGTAGTTAGCTAATGGTACAAACAACATTTGGAAAGATCATTAAGTGGTCCGCCGAGACCCTCAGCAAATTTCAAGTGCAAAAAAAAAAGTTTGAAAACCACAGTACTAGTGTGTTTCACACTCCCACAGGAGGGAAGGGGGGTGTTCCCACAACATTAACCTAGCCCCTTTCCACAGGGACCAAGAAGCAGGGGCGCTATATGGATAAAAACAGTTCAGTATAACCACGTAGTGTACTTCTCTCACTAGATGGGAGGATTACCAACCCCCCACTCCAAAATAACAACTCATTGCTGCCCTTGCCCTTGAGGGGGGGCAGCAATCCAAACAGTTGACCCCATAAACTGCAGAATGAAGAAGAAAAGGGTTACAATGTCTATGTAGAGATTCAGTGCTGCAAGGGCATAATCAATGGGTTCTTGATCCTTTGTGGGTTCTCGTCTGATCCTAACTTGTGTCATCATCAAATGCTTACAAGAATAAGGAAGGAAAAACTTCAATTACCTTTTTTTCCTCTTTTGGGTCTTACAACTTTTATACAAAATCAAGGTTTATATACAGTACTTGCCCGCATCCGGGACTAAACCTACTGTGCAACATTCTGTGAAGGTAACTGTGTTGCATGGACTCAGATGCATTTGTTAATGTTTATGGACATCATAATTGCAAAGGTTTATTTCTCCTAAAGGGACCTCTAGTCCTAGTAACAAGACTGGAGGGCAGAATTTAAGCTGTCACTCATATTTTTTTTGGCAAAATGCTTTAAGAAAAGGCAATTTACAAATATTTTCTTGTCCCTCTGTTATTTTATTAATGACCGCTCCCCCTTAATGTGGATCCTTTCAACTTCTCTGGCTCCCTGGTCCTTGTTAACGCTATCCACAGGGAACAGCCCACTATCACATACCCCAAGCCACCTGCTCCAGGAACTGCAATCTACTAGAGCGCTCAGGCAGCCCCACTGCCACCAATGAGACTGCTGCTGCTTTTTCACAGCAAAATTACACATTCATTGCAACAAGCACTGCATTTCATTAGTCACATCACTAAATGGCCTAGACAAGATTGCTGGGGAAGAAACTTTGCATTTCTCCACAACAGGTCTTGGTAAAAGTGGCCTGGTTTACAGAGATGCTAAGCACCTGCAGAGCCACTGCCTTCAATGGGAGCTGAGAGTGTTTAGCACTTCTGAAATAACAGTCCACAACTATGTAGGTGCCTAATTATGGAATTAGGAACCTCATACTGGATAACTGAGTTTGAAAATTTTGGCCAAAGAAAATAGTTTGTATAGTGATAACATCTATTTGAAAAAGAGAGAGAGAGCGAATGCTATACAAATATTCTACTTACAATTGCAAAGGTCAGCGTTCCAGCCAAAGCATAACTTAGTTGTAGTGTCTATAAGAAAAGGTGAAGAAATATGTTTGTGTTCATCATCATTACAAAAGGACAAATAGGAACAAGTTAAAGTTACAGCCCTTATTGCATTTAAATCAATATCAGCATTAAAAGGGACATTTTTGGCATAGTAAAAAAAGCCCCAGCAGAACTGTCTCATAGCTGATCTAAAACAAATGCTAATCCATAACTGGCAAATACTACACTTCATATATCTGTTACTAAGCTTCTCATTCAGGTGGGATCATTTAGATTCTCTCCCACGGTATTCTGTTTTCCACGTTGGGAACATGCACAGCCTTTCTTGGCTCGTAAATCCAGAAAAGACTATGGATACCTGTTAACACATTTGGTTTTTGCTACTCAGAGAGGACTGAAACAGGTAAAACATACAGAAGACATCTACTGATCAGCTGATTAAACAAAACAATGTTCAGAGGAGTACAATTTGTGTCACACAGTGGCACTTCTTCCTTGTGCATAGCTCATCATTTCTGTCTGCAGTGAGGATTTTGCTGTAGTGAGAGCTGGGGTTACTGGTACTATCCCATGCCAGATATAGAATACATCTACACAGCAGCTGGGAGGTTTCCCAGCATGGGTAGACTTACACGCTCTAGCTCTGCTTGTGGTAACATCTAAAAATAGCAGTATGGCTGCTATGGCACAGGCAGCAGCTCAGGCTAGCCACCCACACATGGGCCTGGAGCAGTGGGTGGGATTGTACTTGACCAGCTTTCCCGAGCCGCTGCAGCCACACTACTGTTTTTAGGTTCTAGCTCGAGCAAAGCTAGTGCATGTATAATCTACCCAATCTGGGAATTACACCTCCAGCTGCTGTGTAGACATACCCATTGTGGGTATAAGTACTGTATGGTACCGCCATGCTATGCTGGAAGAGCACTGTGTGCTTTCATGAGAAATACTAAGTAAATTACTTACAGGTGATTTGTCAAGGATACAGAAAATTCCAACGATGACCAGCATTGAGACAGGTATTAAATTAGGAGCTATGTTAATCTGTATCCGCAAAAAGCGCAGGAGTTTTGGCATTTTAGAGATTAACAAATTTCCTGAGACCACAATCCAGGAGGGCACAGCTTCACGAGTGACATTCAACTGAGAACAACAAATACAATAAGACTGTCTTCATTGAACAACAGATCTGTGATTGCAAATGCTAACATGTTTTCCAAGGACAGTGATTAGTAAGCTTGAATCAATGATATACAGCAGTGATGATGCAATCCTGAAATTACCAAGGCTGGTTTAAGCTTCTGCTCCATTTCCTGGACTTCAATTAAACTAAATAAATCCCTGAAATATGTTTTATTGATTTCTAAGTGCTGCAGGTTTTGATTTTAATTAGGCCCTTAACCTGGCCTCCAGCTGCTATTACACACATATTAGCACTCACTAGCACCTGTGGGAGAGATTCTAGTACCTGCTCATGTGAATGATAGAATTTTCACATGGAAAACACGCTGAGAGAAATGCATTCTATCACTAGTGTAGTTGGGTTTTATCGGTCCTTGGTTACTGGGATTAGAGCAGCAAAATGTATGGGTAGATAGATGTGTAGTTTGTGGGAGGATAGCATAAATTAATTAGGACCACAGGGTTTAGGTCAGTCACATTCTCAGATTTTTTGTTTTTTTTTAATATGAGCATCCCTAACACCAAAACAAAAGCAAATAGTTGAAGTAAGATGCTGAGTAAAAAAGTAGCTCACCAGAACTCTACGTGACCCAAAAATATAACTTAACGTAATTTTGTTGGTAAATTAATGTTAATATTGTCTATTCAAACTGCTCTTTTGCCAAATATTTTATTAGATGATACTTACTTTTGACTTTAGAGCAACCCAAGACAGCATCAAAGTCACAAATGCTGTTATTCCTCCAGCCTGCATTACCGTCATGGCAGCAAAGTAGCTAAAATTCAAGCATACAACATATTATTTAAATGAAATGCACAATTAAAGTACAATTAAAGAAAATTCTTGAAAAAGACTTACGACGAAACCACTGCAAGAAACAGGCCTTCGATAATGGTCTAAAAAATACCAAAACAGAGAGAGAGAGAGAGAGAGAGACCATTTTCTTTGAGATGGAGAAGAATGTCCCTTATTAAAATGTTGCATATTTTTATTTCAGTTCCTTATATTACTGATATGAAATACTGAAAAAAAAAATGGTCAGGATGATGATGGGAAAGAAACACAGCATATAAAAGATCACTAAGGAAATCAGCTCTCTAGTCATTGTCTTTAAAGCGTTATTATTTTACACCTTAAACAATTTGAACAATTCCACAATGATCCTTCTTCATGCCTGCATCACAATCAAGTGAAATAGGAATAACTAGTAAGTCTGCAGACCATTTTCTTACATGCATATTTGGAAAAATAATGGCTACAACTAGGGTTGCCAACTTTCTAATCGCACGAAACCAAACACCCTAGCCCCGCCCCTTCCCTGACACCCCGCCCCTTCCCCAAGCCTCACCTCCCCCCCGCTCACTACATTCCCCGTCTCTCAGTGGCTTGCTCTCCCCCACCCTCACTCACTTTCACTGGGCTGGGGCAGGGGGTTGGGGTGCGGGGGGGTGAGGGCTCTAACTGGGGGTATGGGCTCCGGGGTGAGGGCATAAATGAGGGGTTCAGAGTGGAGGAAGGGGCTCCAGGCTGGGGCAGGGAGTTGAGGTGTGGGAGGGGGTGAGGGCTCCAGTTCAGGGTGCGGGCTCTGGGATGGGGCCGGGGATGAGGGGGTTGGCGTGCAGGAGGGGCTCCAGATTGGGGGGGGCACTCAGGGCTGGGGCAAGGGGTTGGGGCACGGGCTTAGTTCTGGCAGCTCCCAGTCAGCGGTGCAGCCAGGGTGCAGAGGCAGGCTTCCTGCCTGTCCTGGCACCCCGGACCGCGCTGTGCCCCAGAAGCAGCCAGCAGCAGGTCCGGCTCCTAGGTGGAGGCTCACAGGCAGCTCTGCACGCTGCTCTCACCTGCAGGCACTGCCCCCTCCCCCAGCTCCCATTGGCTGGTTCCTGGCCCATGGGAGTGCGGAGCCAGTACTCGGCGCTGGGGCAGCACGTGGAGTCCCGTGCACCCTTCCCCCCCGTCTAGGAGCCAGACCTGCTGGCAGCTTCCAGGGCACAGTGTGGTGTCAGAACAGGTAGGAGCTAGCCTACCTTAGCCGGGCAGCACCGCCGACAGGACTTTTAATTGCCCAGTTGGCGGTGCTGACCTGAGCCACCAGGGTCCCTTTTCAACCGGGCATTCCGGTCAAAAACCGGACACCTGGCAACCCTAGCTACAACTTGGAACCTCAACGATTAGGGAACTGTGGGGTTCTTTGACCTCCAAAAAGGACACGGCAATAGAGGGAATGCTCCAGGGACAAAAACTTGATAGGATACAATTGAATGATCTGATCACCACCACATCGTTCATCCTTTCTTCCCTTCTGCTTCCCCTGATGCCAGGCAGTAGATGGTTTTTATTCCTGCACCAGCATGTGGTTAATGGATACACAACACAATAGGTTAGTGAACACTGCAGAGGGGGAGTAAATCAGACTTTCCTTTGTAAAGCAATTTGAGTTTTAGGGATTACAAGTCTAGAAAGGAGCTAAGATTATTAATTTTGTTATAAAGACTCTCCAGCAATCGCACAGTTCCACCTCCTTCACAGGCACGTGTTCTTTTTATATTTACACAAATTCCATGTTATTCAGCAGATTCCATCCTGCAAAATAGGTGGCACTGCCAGGGTACAGGATTGTAGGAGTCATTTTTTGGACTCCGTTTTGATTCAGAGAAATTTTCACATTTACGTATCTGAAGAAGACCTGGCGAGGTCTTTAAAACATATTAAAGCAAAATAATAGGGAAACGCATAGACTTCAAGAATATACTTACAATCATCAATGGTAAAATTAAGTTCAGTGGGAATTTTTTGCAGTTGTTCTCACACCAGTCAGTTATAAACAGCAGAATAATAGTTGCTGGACTAAAAACAAATTAAACATTTTTCACTTATTAATGTTTTGGCTAAATATAGTTGATGACAGTTGTTAATATTTCCACTATTTAAAACATAGCATACAAATATTACATCTGAATCACTTACCTATACAATGTTCAGTTGTCTATATGTTTGTTGTTATTGCACCAGGCTCTTAATTATACAAAGCCACATTAGCTGAAATATGGTAATATCCCTCCAGTCAGAATCTTATTTTTTTGACATTTTGATTTTTGGCTATGATCCCTGAATCAGAGGGGTCATCAGGATTTACCTGTTCTTAGAATATCATCATATGTTTGTAAGTGCATCAAATGACTCGCACATTCTCTATCTGATTTGCCTGAGTGGAGATGTCATTCGAACTGCAGATTTGTGCAGAAATACAGACCCTTGCAAAAATGTTGCTGAGGCCAAGTTTTCCAAAAGTGGTTTTCATTTATGTCTATGCACTTTTTGATCAGCAACACCTGTAGGTACCCAAGAGATGGGTTTTACACATGTAAACTGTATCACTTGTGTCTTGCCCTCTTCTGTTTTCTCTACGCCCTCTGACATTTCTCTTTTAATATCTGCTCACCTCTCTTTTCCCCCTACCTCCACCTGCTATTTGTTTACATACATATACGGCTCTCATCATTGTAATATCTGAGCACCCCACATGGGACTCTTTCCTCTTTCTATCTCCTCACCAAGGGTATGTCTACACTGCAGCTGGGAGTGAGGCTCCCGATGCAGGTAGATAGCCTTGGGCTAGTGGGGCTTGAGCTACAGTGCTAAAAATAGCTGTGTGGCTGTTGCAGCAGAGACTTGGGCCAACCAAGCAAGCTCAAGGCCACCTGACTCCGTCCCCAGGCTGGAGCTCTCTTCTGGAGACTCCATTGCAGCAGTATTGCAATGCTGATGACTACATTGGACAGTAGATCTCCACACAAAGCCAGCGTAGCTGCCCACCTCTTGTGTTCCAGTACTGTGGGTGAATCCAGCAATCTGGTGTTATGTGGCACATGCGTGCCTATAAACCAGCTACTGACAAACTCCCCGGTGCGGTTGAGTATATTCGCCTATGCAGAAGGTAAAGTACAATGATAAATTGTCACTAAATGAAATAATGCCATCAGGAAACTAAAACGCATACACTGAGGCATACAGAGCATACTGGTGTGCATTTCTATTCACTAGACTCACACGGAAATCCTAGGACTGAACCTTCTATAAAGGAGGGGAGGGAAGAAGATGGGGAACAGAGAAAAGAAAGTGGCGGGGAAAATGTAATCAATTCACTTCTTTTGTCGCTATCACGAGATGTGACAGCAGTACTGGTCACACCCAGCCTGGGAAGGGATACCTGCTTGTACTGTTAATAATCTCACAGATCATGATGTTTAATGAAACACAGTGGGTTGGTGAGTCATTTTGGTTACTTACAGAAGTTTAAGCCAAAACCAGAGATTCTTCTGCTGACATCCTTGAAGCATGTTCCTAGTAAGAGACAAAAGTCACATGTGGCTTTGCAAAATATATTGGGCAAGCTTCAGTTCTCTGAAGGGTGACGAGATGTCCTGATTTTATAGGGACAATCCCGATTTTTGGGTCTTTTTCTTATATAGGCTCCTATTACCCCCCACCCCCGTCCCGATTTTTCACACTTGCTGTCTGGTCACCCTAGTTCTCCATGATATTTGTGCATCTCCATTGACCTCAGTGTAGTTGCAGGAGTTTAACTGAGTGGAACTGGCCCTTTATTTGTATTTAGCATTGCTTTCCTTACATGGCCCTGCTTCACACACACTACTTGAACTTACAGGAAGTGCTGTTTACACCAATTCACAGAAGACGAACAGGCAAAAAACAAAGAATTTAAATAGCAAAGTTGAGTTATAGAGCAGTGACAGACATGGTAAAAGTTCACACCTCATTCTCCATGGAAGGCCCTAAACAAAACTGCTGTGGTCCTTCTCTGTAGTGGAGCACATGTTAAGAAAGCAGGGCCGGCTCCAGGTATCAGCCCACCAAGCATGTGCTTGGGGCAGCGCCTGGAGGGAGGCGGCGCGGCAGGGCACTCCGGCCCGAGAGCGGGGCCGCGACCGGGTTTTGCCACCCTCCCCCCGGCGCTCCGGCCAGTCGGGGAGAGCGGGGCCCCAGCCGGGCTTGCCGCCCGCTCCGGCCGGTCGGGGAGAGCGGAGAGCCACGGCGGGCTGGAGGGGGGCGGCGCGGCGGAGCACTCCGGCCCGAGAGAGGGGCCGCGACCGGGCTCGCCGCCCTCCCCCCGGCGCTCCAGCCGGTCGGGGATTGCGGGCCCGCGGCCGGGCTCGGCGCCCTCCCCTGCCACGCTGTGGGGGGCGGCGGGGGGCTTTTTTGCCTAGGGCGGCAAAAAAGCCAGAGCTGGCCCTGTAAGAAAGGACTATATAGGGGGACTTTATACTCCCTACACAACAGAAACCTGTTTGCTGTGGCTGTGCGAAGAGAACAAGTCAGGGCTGGATTGGGGGATGACCAGTGGGTCTGACACTGTAAGGATCAACTGGCCTAAACAGACCTGTGAGTTTGTGCAGCGGATGCAGTGTTCCCAGCTCAATGGAAATGCCCTGGCTTTGGGCAAAGGATCGGCATTTGCCTTTAATCTCAAAGTATAACATGCCCAACCCCAATTTATGAGGAAATAAGAAAATTAATGAGAGAGAGAAAGAGAGCGAGAGAACCATTCTCTGCTTTTATGACAGTTTCCGTAGCAAATATATTTAGTTTCCACGCCATGAAAACCTATAAAAGCAAAAAAAAATCAGTTTCTCAGAGGCTTCACAGTTTTGTGTGTGCTGCAATAGCTGATCTAAACAGCAACTAAGTTAAGTATTATCAAGACAGACGTCAGGAGATGCTTCTACGGCCACAATGTTCTGAAGATTCAGAGCAGGCGCAGCAGGGACAGAAGGATTGT